TGACACCGGAAGGGGGAACAACATCGTCAAAGCTGTTGTTGCGAATGAACGCCTCGTTCTCCACATCCATTGCTGCCTTCCACTCCTTCTTATAAGGCCCCGAGAGAGCTTCCTCTTTTGTGCGAGGAGTCGGAATGGTCGGGTTCTCGGTGAAGTTGAGGGAAGGGCAGTCAGTAATGTCCGGGAAGATGTGAGAGAGAAATTGGCAGCCCGCGTGAAGATCAAACAACTCCTCATGGCTGTCCCGCAGAAGTGCACAGATGGAGGGGGCATCACATCCGGTAAGAGAAGGCGGAAGGACCGAACACCGAATGGAGAATTCGGCTGGTCCCCAGGCGAGAGGCAGAGCCAATCCCTTAGAACGAGTGCGACTAGAGACCAGAGACGAAGGCGGCTGCAGTGTGACCGGAGGGACTAGATGCCTCCCGTAGGAAACTAGTGAGCTGGGCTCGACTCGTGGGGAAGGCGGAGCAGGAGGAGGTGCCGCTGCGGAGGATGTTAGAAATAGATTGCAAATCTTACGTTTGTATTTGTACTTTTATATCCTAGTTTAGGTCAGGAATGTTTCTAGTGGGTTGGGGTGTACTCACAAAATCCCAACCTCAACCAATTGTGATTCCCCCAATCTCCAATTACCCAATTGGAGATTCCGGAGATCCCAATGGGGATTCCCTCCGATTCCCCCTTCATCCATTCTCCCTTACCTTGCCATGTACGTATAGAGCATTGGGCTCCTTACCAAATCAATCATTTTCAGCTCTATTTCTTACATGGTGTCAGAGCTCAGAACAGATTGGAGAGTTGCCATCTCGGCTGGATCTCTGGCTGCTAGAATGAAGTCATCAACGTAGACGAGGATGTAGAAGGGCTCGGAGGAGTGACGAACGAAACGACTGGAATCTGATGCAGAAGGATGAAAGTCATGTGCGAGGAGGACTTCCTTCACCTTGTTGTGCCACTCACGTGGAGCTTGCTTGAGGCCATACACTGGGGGCTTTAGCTTCCATACTGTGTTGGCAGGATAAGTGCCAGGAAACCCGGATGGGCGTTCCATGTGAACATCCTCCTTGAGCTGGCCTTGGAGAAAGGCGGAGGAGGCGTCCATGGACTTGATCTCGAAGTTGCCGCGAGCGGCTATATCAAGAAGAGCGCGCACAGTCGGGAGCTTGGCCGTGGGCGAGAATGTTTCGAAGAAATCGAGATACTCCTTCTGGGTGAAACCCTTCGCCACGTATCGTGCCTTGAATAGTGGAGCTTCGCCTGGGAGTTGTTTGACTCGGAAGATCCATTTTCCGCCGACGATGTTGACACCGGAAGGGGGAACAACATCGTCAAAGCTGTTGTTGCGAATGAACGTCTCGTTCTCCACATCCATTGCTGCCTTCCACTCCTTCTTATAAGGCCCCGAGAGAGCTTCCTCTTTTGTGCGAGGAGTCGGAATGGTCGGGTTCTCGGTGAAGTTGAGGGAAGCGCAGTCAGTAATGTCCGGGAATATGTGAGAGAGAAATTGGCAGACCGCGTGAAGGTCAAACAGCTCCTCATGCCTGTCCTCCAGAAGTGCACGGGGCGGAATACGGATGGAGGGGACATCACCCCCGGCAGGAGGAGGCGGGGTGACCGAACACCGGATGGAGAAGGCGGCTGGTCCCCAGGCGAGAGGCGGAGCCGGTCCCTTGGAACGAGTGAGACTAGAGACCGGAGACGAAGGCGGCTGCGGTGGGACCGGAGGGACTGGCCCGCCGCCGGCCCCTCGCGTCCAACTGGCCCCTCGAGCCTAGCCGCCCCCCCTCGCCCCCTAGCCGGCCCCTCGCGCCATCCCCGGCCCCTTGCGCTCTAGTTAGCCCCTCGCGCCCTAGCCAGCTCCTCGCGCCCTAGCCAGCTCCTCGCGCCCTAGCCGGCCCCTCACGCCATCGCAGGCCCCTCGCGCCCTAGCCGGCCCCTCGCGCCATCTCCGGCCCCTCGCGCCCTATCCAGCCCCTCGCGCCCTAGCCGGCCCCTCATGGCGTCGCCGGCCCCTCGCGCCGTAGCCGGCCCCTCGCGCCCTAGCCGGCCACTCGTACCCTAGCTGGCTCCTCGCGCCGTCGCCAGCCCCTCGTGCCTAGCCGGCCCCTCGCGCCCTAGCCGGCCACTCGCACCCTAGCTGGCTCCTTGCGCCGTCGCCAGCTCCTCACGCCCAGTCTGCCCCGCGCGCCCAGCCGGTCCCCCCTCGTGCACTAGCCGGCCCCTATTGCCCTCGCTGGCCCCTCGCACCCTAGCCGGCCCCTCGCGCCCAGCCGCCCTCTCGGGCTTAGCTGGCCCCTCCTAGGGCCGCCGCCGGTCCCACTACCGCCAAGTCGGCCCCTACCGCCTTTTCGCCCCCCCCCCCCCTTGCGCGCCATCCGGCTCCTCGCGCGCCCAGTCCCTGTTCCGGAGAGTCCTGCCACCACGTCGCTGTCTCGCCGTGCAGCTGAGTACCTGTGTCCCTGTGCCGTTGCGCCGATGTGTCCCTGTGCCGCTGTGCTGCTATGTCACGCTGCCGCAGAGGTTTCGCGATGGCGGACGCCATGCTACGCTTGGACGCGGAGGGGCACGCAATCGACTTCGCCGCCTGGCTTGTCGATCTTCGCCGACACATGACAGGTTAGCGCTAGGATGGGCACTCCCTGGCTATGAATGTTGATGGCTTGCTTCCCCACCCATCTGCACCTGATCCCCGTCGCGGCCCCAAGGGAGGGCGCGGTGGTGGTGGCGGCAACAGTAGTTCTGACGAGGGGGCTGGGGCAGGCGTCCAAGAGCAGCAGCAGCAGCAGTAGCAGTCGCAGCAGCAGCAGCAGCCGCAGCAGCTGCAGCAGCCACAGCAGCAAGAGCAGCTGCAACAGCAGCCGTTCGTTGACTCTGGGGGTGCTGGTGTTGAGGCGGGTGCTAGTTCTGCTGTTCCTGTCGTGGCTTGTCCCGGCGGGCTCGAGGGTGGCACTGGTGCTGGAGAGGGTTCTCGCTCTGGGGGTGCTCGTTCTGGGGGTGCTGGAGTGGAGTGTTCCGGAGGAAGTTGGTGCAGCTGGCAGTCCAGGTGTCGGCGTCGAGCAGCAGCAGCAGCAGTCGCCGCCGGTGTCTGCCCTTCGCCTGCTCGGCCTTCCCTCCCCTGATCACTCGCCTGCGCCTCCCCCGCCGGCTCCTTCCCTTCCTGTCAACGGTCCTGTGCTTACTCCGCCGGACTCGTCCCCGGCTCGCTTCCCCCCTCGTTCCCTTGCTGTTACTCCTCCTCTTTCTCCATACCCGACGCCTTCGTCTCACATCCGGTCTCGCCGTCCCTCTCGTGCTCGTCCTGTCTCTCCTGTTGAACATTCTCACCTTATGTTGCTTCGTTCGCACGCGTCTTGTCCTCCCCTCCTGCCTTCGCCTCCTCCGTCGTCGCTCGCTGTCGCGCTTCCCGCTCAGAGTGACTACCTTTGTGCTGCTCGTCCTCTTGTTCCTCGGGTCCTTGCCTCACTCATTTCCGACCTGTCTGTTCCTGTCTCGAGTCTTGACGCTCTTGTCGCTGCTATCGCTAACTTCGCCTCTATCTGTCGCCTTGACTACGCCACCGCTCTGGTCTCTGACCCTTTCCGTCCTCCGTCCGTCGGGGGTGCTCCTGCCCTTGACAGTGACGTCCCAAAGGACAAGCAGTACGAGCTTGCTTTCCTGTTTGCCCCATCTCTGCTCCATATTGCTAGTCCCTGAGGGTGACCCAGACGCCTTTGACATCTCTACCCCTCGCGCTTACGCTGATGCGACCTCGGGACCCTGGGCCTCTTAGTGGATAGCTGCCATGAAGCAGGAGATGGCATATTGGAGATCCACCGGCACCTATGTTGACGCAGTTCCTCCACCTGGGGTGAACGTAGTCGATGGCTGATGGATGGGGGGAGGGGGTAGGGTACCGAGAAGACTCTGTTTCAAGTTGGAAATCCGTTAAGGCTGATAATTCAGGGTGACCAAAACAAGAACATACAATATTTCAAGCCTGCTCAAATAAGAACCCCTAATATTCAGGCCTAGGGAAAATCAAAAGCTGGAAAATTAGGACCCTAAAAAAACACCCTACTCTACAACAGTTTAGGGCATTTTGTCATGAGTTCTGAAGCCCTGTGCGCTTCAACCTCGTTATAGCAGTGTACGCCTTACTAACTAAACCCTGTAATAATGAGATACCATTTCCGTACACATACTCTGTCACCCTTTCGCCCTTTTGTGTTATCATTTCAACTAAGGGCGTGTGGCAAGTAGAAGTTCAAACGATGGGACCGGAACGGAGGTTAGGTAGAACGCGGTACAATGAGAGACTGTCTGTTTTAAATGAATTGTTCAGAGGTACACCTGTTCCACGCTAAAGAAGACGGGTTTTTTCACGCGGCTCGAGCCTGTTCCCCAGAAATTTCAAACCACGGGCAAACGGGACATTAGCCGGGAAAATGCACAGTAACTCCTGGGCAAAATGTCGAACATTTCGGCCTTGACTTTGGGGGGCAATGCGGTTGAGCTCGGTACCTGGCTTTTTGGACTGAATATAGGGGGACACGAGCATGCTAGAATTGCATTTGGGACCCTATGGGCGACAAGATCAGGCGAAAATTGCAATTTGGACTGTTCGTCTGACGACCATAGCGTAGAACACGTGTACAGGAGGTAAACGACCGGAGAATGGGGGCGGAGGGTCTCTCTGGTCATACTTAATTCGGGATCACGAATTGGAGGTCCCGCGTCCTTGGGGTCAAATCAGTTTGGTGCTAGTGCAACCAGAAATTGTTGGGCGTGTGACACGCCCTGGCGTGAACAACTATTCACGAGCACACCTCATGATCGACCTTCCAAACGTTTGAAGGCGGTATAATGTGATTTACTACGGTTAATATTAACAAACGCGTAGTAAAATGTGTTGAATGTTCGGTTCGAAAACTGTTCGTGAAAATTTTACACGCCCTAAGTACACCTTTTGGGGTCTCACCAACTTTGATACCTGCCTCAGCTTCACGCGGACACTCTGGTGTGGTTCCGCTGCCATCCGAGAATACGAATGCATGCTTGCGTCGATCGTGGCTGCCACATCGGCGGGGTCCGCCCGCACGAAGGAATGCGTCGAGTTGACGCGTGACGCGTGACGCGTGACTCGTGTGAGTCACATGACTCTCGTTCGCTGCACCTCTATCGTCGCCATCGCCGCGCACCGCATTGCTGCCACCCCGCCAGGCGCGGATGGGGTTGCTATCGCTGGTGAAGCGGAAGCCCGCCGCAAAGAAGGATGCCCCCGACTCCGCCGACGCGCACGCCGCTGGCCCCCCGGGTGCGGAGCAGCCGCCGCCAGTCGTGGCGGATGCGGCGGCGGAGGGTCTGGTGCGCAAGGTGGGGATGGCGGCGCGGGAGGCGGCGAAGGAGGCGGCGAAGGAAGCGGCGAAGGAAGCGGCAAAAGGAGCGGGGGAAGAGGCGGCGGGGGAGGCGTCGGGGGAGGCGGAGCACACGGTGCGGATTCTGGGGAAAGCGTACGAGAGCGTGCAGGCGGCGTACAGCATGGGGCGCGAGCTGGGGCGCGGGCAGTATGGCGTGATCCGCGCGTGCGTGGAGCGCGCGACGGGCGCCGCGTGGGCGTGCAAGAGCCTGAGCAAGGCGCGGCTGGCGGGCGCGCGCGAGGTGGAGGACGTGCGGCGGGAGGTGCGCGTGATGCAGCAGCTGGCGGGGCACCCCGCTGTGGCGGCGCTGCACGCCACGTTCGAAGACGTGAAGGTGAGGCGGGAGGGGGGAGAGAGGAAAAGGGGCAGGGGAAGAGGGGGAGAGGGGAAGAGGGGACGTTGGGGAGGATGAGAGGAAGGAGGGGAGAGGAAGGAGGGGAGAGGAAGGAGGGGAGGAAGGAGGGGAGGAAGGAGGGGAGGAAGGAGGGGAGAGGAAGGAGGGGAGAGGAAGGAGGGGAGAGGAAGGAGGGGAGAGGAAGGAGGGGTGAGGAAGGAGGGGAGAGGAAGTGGGGGAGAGGGAGGGCGGGAGAGGAAGAGGAGGACATGAAGAGTGGAGAGGGGGGGGAGGGGCGGGGGTGGGAGGAGACGGCGTGGTGAAGGGGGTGGGAGGAGGAGCAGGCGGTAGTGGCTGGCAGCGGGGACGCTGCACCACGCAGAACGCATTGTCATTCCCATATGATGTGCATGCTCGCTCGCGCCATGGCTTGCCGGGATCCATGGCTTGTCGGGGTCGCCATCCGCACTCTTGAGTGCTCGGGCATGTGGAGGGCTTCTAGCTGGTACTTGTGTTGGGTGTGCCTTGCTGCGGCCTTGCTGTGTGCCTTGCTGTGTGCCTTGCTGTGTGCCTTGCTGTGTGCCTTGCTGTGTGCCTTGCTGTGTGCCTTACTGTGTGCCTTGCTGTGTGCCTTGCTGTGTGCCTTGCTGCGGCCTTGCTGTGTGCCTTGCTGTGTGCCTTGCTGCGGCCTTGCTGTGTGCCTTGCTGTGTGCCTTGCTGTGTGCCTTGCTGTGTACCTTGCTGTGTGCCTTGCTGTGTGCCTTGCTGTGTGCCTTTCTGTGTGCCTTGCTGTGTGCCTTGCTGTGTGCCTTGCTGTGTGCCTTGCTGTGTGCCTTGCTGTGTGCCTTGCTGCGGCCTTGCTGTGTGCCTTGCTGTGTGCCTTGCTGTGTGCCTTGCTGTGTGCCTTGCTGTGTGCCTTGCTGTGTGCCTTGCTGTGTGCCTTGCTGTGTGCCTTGCTGTGTGCCTTGCTGTGTGCCTTGCTGTGTGCCTTGCTGTGTGCCTTGCTGTGTGCCTTGCTGTGTGCCTTGCTGTGTGCCTTTCTGTGTGCCTTGCTGTGTGCCTTGCTGTGTGCCTTGCTGTGTGCCTTGCTGTGTGCCTTGCTGTGTGCCTTGCTGTGTGCCTTGCTGTGTGCCTTGCTGTGTGCCTTGCTGTGTGCCTTGCTGTGTGCCTTGCTGTGTGCCTTGCTGTGTGCCTTTCTGTGTGCCTTGCTGTGTGCCTTGCTGTGTGCCTTGCTGTGTGCCTTGCTGTGTGCCTTGCTGTGTGCCTTGCTGTGTGCCTTGCTGTGTGCCTTGCTGTGTGCCTTGCTGTGTCCGCAGTCAGGTGTGTGACTGCGAGCATCTCTGTGTGTGCGTCTCTGCATTGCTTTCTCTCTCTGCGTGTGCATGTGTGCATGCATTGCCATGTGCGTGTGTGCATGCATGGCCATGTGTCTGTGTGCCTGTGGGTGTGTGTGTGTCCCCAGGGCGTGCATCTGATAATGGAGCTCTGCGAGGGCGGGGAGCTCTTTGACCGCATCCGCCGCTGCAAGCAGTACCCCGAAGCAGACGCGGCGGCGGTGTGCCGCACGCTGCTGTCGGTGGTGGCGCACCTGCAGCGCCACGGGCTCATGCACCGCGACCTCAAGCCCGAAAACATCCTGCTCGTGTCGCCCGCCTCGCACACCCACGTCAAAGTCGTCGACTTCGGCCTCGCCATCGCCGTCAAGCCAGGTAGACGTCCAGCTAGGTAGCCGTCAAGCCAGGTAGCCGTCAAGCCAGGTAGCCGTCAAGCCAGGTGGGGCCGTCAAGCCAGGTGGGGCCGTCAAGCCAGGTAGCCGTCAAGCCAGGTAGCCGTCAAGCCAGGTAGCCATCAAGCCAGGTAGCAGTCAAGCCAGGTAGCCGTCAAGTAGACATGGTTAAAAAGCGATGCGATGCGACATCGCATCACTTTTCCTTGTATCGCAGAAATTATCGCGGCGATGCGATGTCGCAGCGCGGCGATTTTTTTTCAGAAAAACTAATATCGCATATCGCAAATTTGGCGCGATATATTTTTATATCGCATGTCAATGTGCGATATATCGCGCGATGCGATATTTTATCGCATCGACAGGGGCACATTGCAAAAAGAAGTAGCGTACCCTGGCAACTTGGATAGGGAGCTATGTTGGAAATGCGGAATGATTTCAAAAAGTGGCACAACACTGAATTACAACGGCAGACCGGCCGGCGGATGTCATAAATAAAAAGCAAACAAAAATTGGCGAGCTCCAGGAAAAAGAGAGCCCCACTATCGTCCAAGGGGGGGGGTGGGAGTGGTGGGGAGGTGGAGAGTGGAGGGGGGGGGGAGATCCCAGCAGGAGAGGCTAAGCAAACAGACATAGAGAACACAGATGCCAAGTCTCGAAAGCACCCCTCACAACCCAGGCCCGATCTCCAGGCCGAGATCAACGGCCGTGTCGTCGTCCACGCCGCCATCAAGGCGCTCCCCCAGGTGAGAGGCGATCCAGGACTTTAGCATCGTGCAAGCCCGGATGCGCTCCCTCCCTAGGCGGTGTCGTTGCCAGTGAATGAGGTTGCGGCCCTGTGAGAACAGACGCTCGCAGGGGGCGGAGGTGGCTGGGATGGCAAGGTAGTCCATCGCCATCCGCCGCAGCGCTGGAAGCTCTGTATGGTAACGCCAAAACTGCTAAGGGCACTCGTGCAACTCCTGGAGGGGGAGCTCCAAGTACCGCTCGATCTCGTCCTTGGCCTGCTACGTCTGCCTGGCACGCACTGCCCTAAGATGTGCGAACACCCCCAGGTCCTCATTTGCCTCCCCTCTCTGATCCTCCTCCTCCTCCCCACCCCCACTCGCAACCCCTTCCGCCATGGCTGCCTGCAACCGTGCGGCCGCATCAACATCCTTCTTGTACACCTCCCAGCGCGAGCGGACCGGCGTCAAGACCGCACTTGTCGGCAACTCCTTCACCTTACGTGTGCTCTCTGCGACCTGAGATGGCCTGTCGAACCAAGCCAACTTCAGCGCAGGGTCAAGGAATGTCGCCACGTTCAGGTCATCGGTGCTCGAGTAGAAGTAGTTCAGCATCTTCTCCAATGCCTCGGCAACGCACACCCCCATGATCGACCCTTCTTGGGCCCCTGCCTTCTCCTGCTGCTTCTCCAACCAGTCCAGAACTCCGTTGTATTCTGGGACCACCCTGCTGACCGTGGGGTACAGCGAACCCTCTGCTGCCAACGTCACGCTGTTGAACGGCGCCAAGAAGGCCATCAACTCCTCCAGCACGGACCACTCTTCTTCAGTCACAGACTTCGCATCTACAGTATCTCCGACTGCTCCTTGTTGCAGCCCTGATTATTGCGTGGTGGCGTGGGGGGGGTAGTGCAATAACAATTAAGTTTGTTAGTTCGGGGGGTGTGAGTGAGAAAGCATATGGGTGGGTGAGCACCGTTCAGGGCATGGGGGGGTGGGAGGGCGCATTGATGCGGTAAACACAGAAAGAGCGCGGTTTGCTGCTGTAATCACAAGGGATATGGGAATGGGAGAGAGAGCGCTCAATGTGCGGCGTGACTACATCCACCCACGCCAACCCAAGCGAAGGCTCACCTCACGAGTGACAAAGGCGACGATGGGGTTCTTGAGATCAAGAGCCCTCTTGATCATTGCATGCGTCGAGCCCCATCGCATTGGGCTGTCCTGCTTCAGCTTGACAGCCTGCTTGGTGGGGATATGGTGGCGCTGTGCGCGCTGCCTCCAAAGATGGGAACCAATCGCATGTCGCCATCCGCCCGCCAACCCTTCTTCAGAAGGTTGAACGCTGCCCCATTGACAGATGCGTTGTCAGTGGTCAGCGCCATGCACCTGTCCGCCAGCCCCCACTCCTCAATCACCTCCTCCAGAATCCTCGCCACCGTCTCTCCTGTGTGCTCGGCCGGCAGGGGTCGGAAGTCAAGCGTCGCCTGTCGCAGCTTGAATTAAGCGTCGATGTAGTGTGCGGTAATCCCCATGAACCCCAACTCGTTCTCCGCGGACCAGATGTCCGTCGTGACCGAGATGGACCCCACGCCCGCGTCCGCCCGCAGCTCCGCCTTGGCGAGCTCCATTGCCTTGGCCGCCTACTGCATGATCATACGGGCCAACTTTTGCCGCGGAACTGGAAGGATAGCAAGTGGGGGCAGGCAGTATGGAGGCACGTCAGGGGTTTGGAACGTGCGAGACAGGCGCCCTACACTCGCGATGAAATGAAAGCATTGCGTAGTCTAAACGCCACGAGAATGAGCAAGCATTGTAGAGGGCGGGGGGTAGTATTACGTACGGTGTCTCGCTCGACGGTGCTGAATGGTGAGTCGGTGTCCACAATGTACTCGACCAGTAGCTGCTTGAACCGCTCCAAGTCCATGGGCTTCTGAAAGAAGCGCTTGATGCCCCTCCTGCTCATCGGGCCCCCAGTCACCTCCCCCTCGTCAGGCAAGATCGGCCAGGTGGCTGATCCGGCCCACCCACCGTCCCCGTCGGACACCTCACCCTCCACCCCAAACCCGCCTCGGGGTATCTTATCGTCTACCGTCATCTCCCCTGACCGCCGCATGCGGACGAGGATGTCCCAGGTCGGGCGGTGGTGCAGCAGCATGTGCACTTTCCCGTTTTGGTTCGTGCGCTTGGTAAAGGTCACTTTGGCACTGCACCTCCTGCAACGCCTCCACTCCGTATCGGGTTGCATGTCAAAGCACTGCCCCACAATACGGGGTGGATCCTTCTCCCCCCCCTCTCCCCCAGATGGTGCAGACCCATGTGCGTGTGCCGTTTCCCCAACTCCCCCACACTGCCCCGCCCCCTTCCTCGCACCCGTGCCTCCCGTTGCACCGCCCTTCTTTCCGCCACCACCACCCTTCCCCCTCAGACCATCCGCATGTAGATGGCCCGGTGACATCCCGGGCCTCCCCCTCTCTCCCAACCCCGCCCATGCCATCCCTCCACCTCTCCCTCTCCCCTTGCCCCTCCCCTTACCACGCCCAATCCCTCTCCCCCTCCCCCTCCCACGCGCCGTCTCATTTGCCCCCCCCCCCCTCCTCCCTGATGCCTTAACCTTCTTCCCAACCATACCCCCGGAGAGTTGGGAGGCCATTGCATTCTTGCGCTTCCCTTTGGCCCCCTCCATCTCTCCACCAAAGGCCTCTCCAAGGGCCCCCCCCTCTTCCTCCTCAACATCATCCCCATCCACCTCCTCCTCATAACCCCCCTCCTCATCCCCCTCCCCGTTGTACTCCTCATCCTCCTCATCCCCCGCCTCCTCCTCCTCCCCCTCCCCTCCTCCTCCTCCTCCTCCTCCTTTCCCGCATCATCGTCCTCCCCCTCATCCTCCCCCCCCCTCATCTTCTCCCGCCTCCCCGGCGTCGCCCTCCCACCCCCGCATGCCCATCGCCCCCCCGCCCCCCACCCCTTCCCCATCCGTCGCAGCTCGGAGCCGCCAGGCGTGCCTGTCTTCCTCCTCCACCCTCACGACCACACCCTCCACCTGGGGGGCAGCACCTACACCTCCAGCGGCACTGCCCTGAGTTCCGTGGCAACCGTCGCCAACCACCAACTCCCCTCCGCCATCCGCTCCAGTGCGCGCAGAGCCGGAGGTGAGCTTTGCAAACAAGGCCTCGTCCTGCTGCCTGCGCTGAGCTCGCGCCTCAACGGTCGTCATCCCGGTGGCGCCGCCATAGCGCCCCCTCCCCTCAACCCCCGCTCCCCGCCCTCCGCCGCTCCGCCCCGCCCTACCGCGTGGATGGCGAGCACGCGGACCCATCGTCGACGTCGCCCCAAATCCTACTTGCAAAAATCCCTCTATACCCTACGGGCTACCCTCAAAAGGGGCGGCACGAACTACGGGCGTGGATTTGGAGCCTTTAGGCTAAAACCCTACGGCAAGCCACTCCCGATGGTTGGATTAGCGATGGAAACAGCTCTGAAAATGGCACTGTACGATAAACCCTAAACCACGTAGCCGTTGCCGTCACACTCGCGTGCCGCACGGACGTTGCTATGCGATGGCGCCTAAACCCCACACGTCGGGAAGGTGCGGTGCATACGAGGTAAAATGGCGCGAGGAAACTAAAAACGACACCCTACTTAGGTGTGGTGGAGAATTGCCTAGGTAGATTAGGGAGACTAGACTAGGAGTTTAAATTGTTGCCCCCATATATGCTTACTTAGGAGGAATGGGGGAGAGGAGGCATGGCTTAGTGGCAAAGGAGGTTCCTTCCTTCCAACTCCAAGGGTTTGCATTGCAAAGTGAGCTTGCTTTGCATGGAAGCTTGGGAATGGGAGTGGGTAGGTGGGAAATGAGGGTGGAATCTGTTGGGGTGGGGGTTCTCTCAAAGGAGAATTGGTCGCAGCCCTTTTGGGCTTCGTTTGTCCCCCCCCCCCCTCCCCGAAATCTGCCAATGTCGCGCTGCGATACGCCAAAAAATCGCATGCGATTTTTTAAAATCGCATATCGCAATTCATCGCGGATAAAAAACGCGATAAATCCGCGATATCGCAAATATCGCGCGATTATATCGCATCGCATCGCACGATTTTTACAAAAAAATAAAATAAAAATCGCAATCGCTTTTTGCGATAAAAAGCGATGCGATGCGATTTAACCATGTATACCGTCAAGCCACGTGGGGCAAGCCAGGTGGGGCGAGCCAGGTGGGTCATGCCAAGTGGGTCATGCCAAGTGGCCGTCAAGCCAGGTAGCTGTCAAGGTGGGTAGCTGTCAAGGTGGGTAGCTGTCAAGCGAGGTGGCTGTCAAGGTGGGTAGCTGTCAAGGTGGGTAGCTGTCAAGGTGGGTAGCTATCAAGGTGGGTAGCTGTAGGTGGGTAGCTGTCAGGTGGGTAGCTGTCCAGGTGGGTAGCTGTCACGGTTGGTGATCCCATCCTGCCAACAGCCACACATGTCATCTTCGTCCGTGCTTCCATCCCTCAGGAGCGCGCCTGACGGCGATGGCAGGCAGCAGCTACTACATCGCGCCGGAGGTGCTGGCGTGCTGCTACGGCGTTGAGGCCGACATGTGGAGCGTGGGTGTGGTGCTCTTCATCCTGCTGGCGGGCGTGCCTCCCTTCTGGGCGGCCAGCGAGCCGGGCATCTTCGCGGCCATCAAGGAGGGGCGCATCGACGTCTTCAGCGGCGTGTGGGCGGGGGTGTCGGCGGACGCCAAGGACCTCGTGCTGCGCCTGCTCACGCGCGACCCCGCCAAGCGCATCACGCCCGACAAGGCGCTCGGTGAGGGGGAGGGGCTAGGGGGGACATGGGTGTTGTAAAATATATATATATTTACAACATGCATGCCTAGATTAGGAGGTGTAGTCATTATCTTTATTGGGGGGTTGTTGGTTGGGTTGACCAACCCACATTTGGGTTGGTCAAGATTGGATTTGGTCCTAGACATTTGGTTGGCATGATTCCAACCAAATGGTCATAAGAACCAAACAATCACCAAGCACCACACTTTTTGGTTGCTTGCCTTCCAAGCAACCTCTCCCATTAGTCCGCATTGTGGCCAATCGCTCCGCGCACCTACTCTTTTCCTCCCTCCTCCTCCTCCTCCTCCTCCTCCTCCTCCTCCTCCTCCTCCTCCTCCTCCTCCTCCTCCTCCTCCTCCTCCTCCTCCTCCTCCTCCTCCTCCTCCTCCTCCTCCTCCTCCTCCTCCTCCTCCTCCTCCTCCTCCTCCTCCTCCTCCTCCTCCTCCTCCTCCTCCTCCTCCTCCTCCTCCTCCTCCTCCCCCTCTTCCTCCTCCCCCCCCCCTCCTTCTCCTCCTCCTCCCCCTCCCTTCCTTCTCCTCCTCTTCCCCTTCCTTCCCCTCCTCCTCCTAAATGGTGTCCAATTGCTCAGCGGATCTCACCTGTGTGGACGCTCTCGAGCTGCTGCCCGACAACACCGCGGCTGGACATGGGCAGCATGCCGAGCCTGGCTCGACTCGGCTCGACTCGACCACGAGCAGTCGAGCCGAGCTGGCTCGGCTCGACCCGAGCCGGCTGCCCGAAATTGGTTGGCTCGACTCGGGGTTTGAGGGTCGAGCCAAGGGCCGGCTCGACTTTGGCTCAGCTCGGCTCGACTGGACAGAGTAGTGACGGTTAGCGTTCTTGACTAGAGTAGAAAGTGGGTGTTTGGCGGACCTAGAAAATCTAGGTCCTAAACAGAAATCGCCATCGCTGGTGTACCCTGAAAACGTGATTCCTGAACCCTAATAACCTAAAACACTCTAGTTAATGTCTGACTGAACTTCGGAGTGAGATTAATGGAGCTTAGGCATGCTAGGTTGGCGTGGTGGGCGTAGGCAGCGCTTAGAGTTACTGGAAATCGAAAACCAGAAATGGGTTTCCGATTTCCAAGGGGGAAACGAGCCGCGCGACTCGACAGTCGAGCCGAAATCGAGCCGGCTCGACTTCGGGTCGCCCAAAAATTTCCGACGAGCCGAGCCGAGCTGCGCGGCTCGACCGGCTCGACTCGGCTCGACTCGGCTCGACTCAGGGCGAGCCGGCTAAAAAAAATCCCTGGCTCATCTCGCTAAAAAGGCGAGTCGCGCCAAGTCAAGCCGAGCATGGCTTGGCATGCTGCCCATGTCTAACCGCGGCCAATTGGCATTCCTATCTCAAGGGAATAGACCCTTCTAGAAAATAGAATCACCACAACCACCACCACTGCGTGGGGCCATAGCGAAGGAGATACTGACAAGGAGGATGATCCAGTTGCAGCTCCTCCTTGCACCTCCTCCTATGGCTCCCCCCCAGCAGCCCTACCCTGCCTGGACCGCCGCTGCCGCAGATCATCTCTCGGCCGCGTCTCCTGCGCCCTCCGCCACAGGCAGTGTGACTCCTTTCCCCTCCTCTCGTTTTGTTGGCATGGTTAATCAGGCTGGAACCCGTGTCCTGTGTGTGTATTCGGGTGCTATTAATGAGAATGTGATTCAGTACTCCGTCCCACCTCCTCCCTCACATCCCTCCCCTTCCACCACACTGGACTTCGTCCTTGACAGTGGAGCCACAGAGTCAGTCCTTCGTGATGCTGGTACCCTTCACTCCCCCCCCTTACCTTCCTCCTTGGTGCCAATTCCAGCTTCTCTATTCCCTGTCGCCACACCTCTACCCTCCCCTGTCTCCTCTTCCCCTTAGGTACCGTCACTGGTTTACACATCCCCTCCCTCCGTACTAACCTCCTCTCCCAGCGATCCCTGCAGTAGGCCGGTGTCACAGGATCGAATGTGTCGAGGAAAGGTTGCACTATCGATTGATACAAGGCGCTTTTATACTTCCAAAGTACATCAGTAACCAAGTTTATCCTATCTCAAGGGAATAGACCCTTCTAGAAAATAGAATCACCATGCGTATAGCCACACGAGGCTACTGGCTTTAAGGGATTACGGCAGGATTACGCTAGATATAGCGTACCAGTACATCCCAAGCGTGGTCGGTGATATAATTATAATAGCAGGATAAACCAAAAGATTATGGAGAATAGGAAACCAAATGAGATGAGATAAAAATAGGAATGTAATAGAAAAGAAATAGGGAAAGGAACAAGTGGTGTAACGGGGTCGTACTCTCACACTTCCCCCCCTCAAAGCTGGGTGGTAGAAGTAACACCCTGCTTGACAAGGTAGTCATGCAGAGGACGACGGGCGTTACCCAAGTCGGACTCAGGTACCTAGCTGTCCTCAGAAGGATCATAACCCTTCCAACGAATGAGAAGCTCCACAGTTCCATTCCAACAACGGCGGTGTGCAAGCACGGATTCGACCTCGTACTCGGGTTCATCGTGGACGAGGACGGCCAGCGGCGGCGGCGGCGGTTGGCGTCCGATGAAGGTCGTGTTGGGATCCCGATAGGGCTTCAGAAGTTGGACATGGAAGGCATTGTGAATCTTCCAGGTAGCTGGTAGGCGTAAGCGGAAGGTAACAGGAGTGACCTGTGCTTCAACGAGAAAAGGCCCGCAAAAGCGAGGTCGCTGTTTAGATGGGAGATGGTGGATGTCAAGATTGCGCGTGTCGAGTAGTACTCGGTCTCCCACGGTGATGGTGTGGTCTGTGCGGTGGCGATCGGCCTGGCGCTTCTGTTGTTGCTGAATGTCGAGAAGGCGCTTGTGGGTCCAATCCCAAAGTGTGTGCATGGTCGTGATGAAATCATGAGCGGGTTGGAGTGTGGCTGGTATTTTTGGCTGTTGAGGTGTGAGTGGGTGGCGTCCGTAACGGAGGAAGAACAGCGTTTGTCCAGTAGCGGCGTGAGTAGCATTGTTGTAGGCAAACTCCAGGACGGGCAGATGCAAGTCCCATTTGTAGATGTTGTCCCTGCAGGCTGCGTGGAGGAGTTGTTCCACAATTTGGTTGAGGCGCTCGGTCTGTCTATCTGTCTGCAGATGGTAGGCGGAGGACATGGCGAGTTTGGTTCCGAGTAGAGACATTAGTTCTTTCCAGAATTTACTGGTGAACTTAGGGTCTCGGTAGGAGATGAGTGTGGTCGGAATGCCATGTTGTGAGATGATGTAGCGAACAAAAAGTTGTGCTGTCTCCTCGGTGTGTGCTGTGGTGTGTGTCGGGATGAAGTGTCCCATTTATGAGAACTTGTCAATGACGACGAGGATCGCGTCATGACCGCTTGTGGTAGTTGGTAGCCCTGTGATGAAATCTAGGCTTACCACTTGCCATGGCTGTTCTGGGACAGGAAGAGGCTGTAGCAGACCTGCTATTTTCTGCTTGCTGCTCTTCATCCGCTGACATGTAGTGCACAAGGTGACGAATTTCTGTACGCCATCTGCCATGTAGGTCCAGTAGTAGTGTTTGGCGATACCGGTGAGCGTCTTGTTGCTACCGAAGTGTCCCGCGTACAGGATGTCGTGGTATTCTTTGAGTAGTAACTAGCGCAATGGAGGGTAATTAGGTACCCAGATCTTCGTTGATCCTTTCCGGTACGCGATGTCGTTGTCCCACTGTAGTAGATGTCGCTTTTCTGCCAAGGGAATTTCGGGGTCGATGGTGTACCCGTGTGTGAAGAGTCCCTTGAGTAATGGATTCATCCCTTCGATCTGGATGGCGACAACGTGTGCAGGCCGGCTAAGGGCGTCTGCTTTATTTTTGTGGCCGGGCTTGTACACGATGTCGTAGTGGAAGTGTGTCTCGAGGAAGTCGATCCACCGGACCTGCCGCCTGGAAAGGTTGGGTTGTGTCTTCAAATATTTCAGGCTGCAGTGGTCGGTGTCAAGGTTCAAAATTACGGTTTTCGAAAAATACGGACTGTAAATTACGACCGTTTTTTTCGGACAGTTTCGGAAAAAAACGGCGTAATTTAAATAGAGCACTTGAAATTATTTTTTTTCGAGGGAGATTGGCTCCTAAGCGGCTCCAACGTAAACTGAATGCTTAATAGTGCACCATGGCACCTACAAACACGACCTGCAGACAGGCATGACCCCTATTTGCACCTAATCCCTACGCTTGCACATGCTACCTTCTCCTCATCCTACTCCTACTCTACGCCTTCTCCTCCTCCCCCTCATTCTCCTCATCCTCCTCCTCCTCCTCCTCCTCCTCGTCCTCCTCCTCCTCCTCATTCTCCTCATCCTCCTCCTCCTCCTCCTCCTCATCCTCACACTGGTTCACATCCCAAGGGCCTCCCCCTTTTGCCCCCTAGCTGGATTCTGCAGCTCCGACCTCATCAATAGCACACTCAGCCTCCTCCTCCTCCTCCTCTCCCTCCGCCTCCTCGTGTAAGGTACGCCGCTGCTTCTTCTTCCTCCTCCCCTTCCCGCTATGCTTCTTCGCCCGCTTCCCGACCTTTGCCTTCCCCTTCTTCTTCCCCCTCCCACCGACCAGCCCAAAGGTCTCCCAATCAATGGCACATTACCCGCCACCTTCCCCCCCCTCCTCCTCCCCAAGCTCCACCTCCAAGCCCTCAGATTCTGGTGGAGGGGCACTAGGCCCGGGGAGTCCCTCCCCGATCTTCCCCTCCGCCAAGTCCCCATATAGCTTAGCGCGTTCAGCCGCCTTCTCGTCGAATGCTGCCCTGGCGCGCCTGCTGAAGGCCACCCAGGTCACGTCGACCATGGTTTCGGCCTTCAGCCGGTTCCGGTCGCGCCGCTGAGCCCGGCTCATGGCGGACCACCAGCGCTCGACCTCTGACGCGGTGAGGGGCTGTGAGAGCACTCTCACAGCCATCTCCTGCAGCTCCTTTACCTCACCCCCGAAAATGACCCACCACTCCGCCTCCGACAGGCGCCCACTCGCCACGAGAGTGGAGGCCGCCCACCGTGCCTGCTGGCTGCCCAACCGCCCCTCCCCGTTGTGGAAGGAGGCGAGTTGTGCCTGCAGCAGGACCTGCCGCTGCACATCGCTCTCCCATGCCCCAATGACTGTGGCGAAACCCTTGTTGACCTCACGGTCGTCGCGGACCTCCTTGTCAAACTGGTTGCGTGGGGAGAGGAGCCACCCCACGGCCTGCAGGGGGTTGTGGAGCTGCCCATCCCACCTGCGGGCTATGATGGCTTTGACGTCGGCCAAAAAGGCAGCCCGGTCCCTCTGCGGCAGCAACGGAGTCTGCTTCACGAAAAGTTTGCTGCAGGGGGGATTGCCATGTGATAGGGAGGGAGTGACGGGGGCAGGGAGGTGAGTCATGTTCAAGGCTTGTGGTCCGGGCAGCAAACAAGAGAATGCATACAAGGTAGAGCGGGTGTGACGGTTTGGAGGGAGAATGCAGAGAAGGGAGAGCGGGTGTGACGGGCTGGAGGGAGAATGCAGATAATACGAGGTAAGGAATTACGAGGTGAGCCCTTACCCGCTGCAACCGCGGCCGCGTTTGTCTTGACTGTCGCGTCGAGCATGAGGCCGTAGATCCTGCCCATAAGCAGAGATCTACGGTCGACAGCCCTCAGCACCTCATACACCGGCTTCATGAGGGCAAGGACCGCCGCCACCCCCTCCCAAAAGGTGTCCTCCAGCAGTAGCTTCTTGATATTTTTCCCCTCCTTTGTCTTGGAAACGGCCACCCCCTTCCACTCCTCAGAGATCACCATCCGCATCATGGCTGACTTGACCTCCAAAAAACGGGTGATCATTATCACCTGAGTGCCGAAACGGGTAGTCCCCGGGCGGACCAGCTCGAGCTCACTAAACACCTCTCGAAAGAGGGTTACAGCGCTCGAGCTGTTCTTCACGAGCATCACGCAGCGGTGTGCCTGAAACAGCACCCGCTCGATGATGTCTAGCGCGCCCAAGTCCTGGAGCATAAGATCCAGACAGTGGGCTGCGCAGTTCGTGAAGAAAACCCGGGGAAAACCATCCGCCAACTCCACCGCCGCCCTTCGGTTATTGCTCGCGGTGTCCATGACAACCTGGACAACCGAGCTATCACCGATCTTGCAGATGGCGGATCTAATCAAACCCGCCAAGAAAACTCCGGTTTTCTTGGCGGTTTTTGAGTCCACCACCTCGACCAGAACAGGGGCCGTGTCGTTCTGGGCAATAAGACACACGAGGCTCCTACTCCTCAGATCCGACCACCCATCAACCGACAGGGTGCACCCCACGGTCTTCCAGGTATCCTTGAGGGGCTGGACTAGCGCGTCAGAGTCGGCCTTCAGCCTCTTCAGCAAGGGGCCGCCGACCTTGTATGCGGAGGGAAGGTCATAGGGCTTCCCATAGGCAACAGCAGCGTCCATAAAGGCCTGAACGGCCTTGGACCTGCAAGTAGGGCAAGCGGCGGGTTAGGTTTGCTTAGTGGTTCTTCTCTGCCGAATTCAATGCATGCGCATGCTTGAAAGGTGACAAACAGCAGATCAATGAACAACACAACGGGAATACATACCTTGAAGACCAGAACGACCAATCCTTCTCCACCACCGCGCATGCCCATAGGTAGTCTAGGTGGTCGCGCGCCTTAGGGTCAACGAGGTCGCGAATGTCGCGCTGTCGAGGCCGGCTTTGCCGTTCCCCCCCAATCTTTGATGCGGAGCCAGGCGCCGCTGTGGAGCAGGTAGAGCTGCGCTCCGCCTCGGCCGTGGCGCGAAGATTCCTGGCGAATTCCGACTGGCATTCAGCCACATTCTTGAATTTCGTCGCGGGCGTTCCGTATAGGTGCTCGCCTATCCTGGTCGCACTGTTACTACACTGAGGGAAAAAACCGTCCGGATGTTTGGCAATAAGTTGGGTTTTTAGGCTTTGAGACTACTGTATGGTAAACCTGCAAGATGCACGGTGGTACATGTTGGGAGAGGCACAAAGTGGATGCGTTCACTGCACTAAGAACTAGAATAGTACATTGGATCTAACTCATACTCCAAAAGATATACAACGAGTACATCCGGACAGTTTTTTCCCAGGACAAAGAGCAAACTTCCGAACAACGTTTCTAGTACCTAGTCCACCTACTCTTGGCGTTGATCACCATCCACACCCTCCTAGGCATGTTATCTATGTGGTTAGTGCAGACCTTTGCATGAAGCTTCTTGCACTCTTCCTTGACCCACCATTTTGCATAAGGGGGTGAGCACAAGGAAAATTGCGAAGTATTTGAGCGTATGCATAAGTATTGTGCACGAATTCAGATTGAATGTAATCTCTGAGACTAGCCAAGCCGAGGGGTGGCCAAAGATGCCATTAGTTAAATGGTCCCGGCTTATCATGGGTCGTCTTCGTTGTATCGTTCTAGGGTAAAATCACGAATAGAGTGGCAAAATCTAGCATTCCCGCCACGAATCTTAGGGTAACAGAGCACGGTCGACTGAACATCCTTTCACTGTGTGAACCATGTTAAAATCCGCGGGTCTAGTGACGGGGCAGCAGTCGAAGAAACCTCGACTGTTTGGGAAGAATATCAGGGTTGAGGTCTGGTGAGGAAGAGGGGCACTCCAGAGCTACATATCCATGCTCTCCGAGCCATTCCAAGCCTAGGCAGGGAAAATGACATGGAATGCCTTGGAGAGCATAAGTATGTTGCGCTGGAGTGACCCTTTTTCTCACCAGACCTCAATCCAGATATTCTTCCCAAACAGTCGAGGTTTCTTCGACTGCTGCCCCGTCACTAGACCCGCGGATTTTAACATGGTTCACACAGTGAAAGGATGTTCAGTCGACCGTGCTCTGTTACCCTAAGATTCGTGGCGGGAATGCTAGATTTTGCCACTCTATTCGTGATTTTACCCTAGAACGATACAACGAAGACGACCCATGATAAGCCGGGACCATTTAACTAATGGCATCTTTGGCCACCCCTCGGCTTGGCTAGTCTCTGAGATAACATTCATTCAGAATTTGTGTACAATACTTATGCATACGCTCAAATACTTTGCAATTTTCCTTGTGCTCACCCCCTTATGCAAAATGGTGGGTCCAGGAAGAGTGCGAGAAGCTTCATGCAAAGGTCTGCACTAACCCCATAGATAACATGCCTAGGAGGGTGCGGATGGTGATCAACGCCAAGAGTAGGTGGACTAGGTACTAGAAACGTTCTTCGGAAGTTTGCTCTTTGTCCTGGGAAAAAACTGTCCGGATGTACTCGTTGTATATCTTTTGGAATATGAGTTGGATCCAATGTACTATTCTAGTTCTTAGTGCTGTGAACGCATCCACTTTGTGCCTCTCCCAACGCGTACCACCATGCATCTTGCAAATTTACCATACAGTAGTCTTAAAGCCTAAAAACCCAACTTCGTGCCAAACATCCGGACGGTTTTTTCCCTCAGTGTAAGCGCCGATTCGCAATGGAGGCATTCGATTCGGAGGACCTTGCCGTCCTCGCCCCTAACTCGGCGGACGTGTTCCCACACGCGGGACACCGCCCTGCCCATCTCTGCGACGCTGTCTAAATACGCCGGAAACAGGTCGGAGGTGTTTTAAGTCAGCGATGTCAAGGAAATCTGAAGTTGCTATGCGATAGAGTAAACTGGCTTAGATTTCAGCTAGAAAAACTCTCGAAACTAAGTCCTGTGGCAGCTTACAAAACGTCCTACGTATTTGTATCTCACGACTTCGAATTTGGGTTGAGAAAGGCTTCGAAGAGAACCCAAATCCATTGGGTTCTGTTTTCGAAACGCGCTTCGGCAGGGGGGTTTCGCAAAATGCGCGAAACCACCCTACTGGGCGCGAAAGGAACCAACGGGTTTCGCGAAGGGAGGGTTCTTTCGTAACGGTCCAGGGAAATTCGGTAAAATGCGCGACTCGGGGTTCGAGTGACTTCGCGCTTCGGGAAAACGTTGACTTATGAACATTCGGGGGTGCGCGTGTACCCCCATCCCCAAAATCCTGATACGGAATTCGACATTCTGAATGTACACCACTGGTTCAAAAAAACGGCCGTAAAAAACGGCCGTTTTTTTTAACCAACCCAAAAAATGTGATTTCGAACCGTAATATTCGTATTATACGGCCGTAAATTACGAAACCGTATAATACGGGCTAAAAATATAAAAAACGCCGTAATTTTGAACCCTGGTCGGTGTAGACTGTCGTCTTGCGTCCCTCGAGATAGCATCTCCACGTTTTGAAGGCGATGATGATAGCAAGGGCCTCCTTGTCGTGTATCGGGTAGTTGAGTTCTGCTCCATGTAATTTTTTGTTGAGGTAGGCAATTGGTTGCAGTCCATTCCCCTGGTCTTGCATCAAGACTGCTCCCAGTGCCTGGTCGCTGGCGTTAGCTTCGATGACGTAGTCGCGTTCGGGGTCTGGCAAGATGAGTACGGGTGCGGACGTGAGTGCTTGTTTCAGCTGCTCCACGGCTTCCTGGTGTTTCGTCTCCCATTTAAAGGGCGTGTTCTTCTTGAGTGACGTGGCGATCTTCGCGTGTTGCGGCACGAACCTGGTGTAGTAGTTAGCAAAGTCAAGGAACTGCTGTAACTCCTTCACGTTCTCGGGTGTCTTCCACGCACGTACGGCTTCGATTTTCTTGGGGTCTACGTGAACTCCTTGAGCGCTTACGATATGTTCGAGGAATTGGACTTTCTCAAGGGCGAATTCGCTCTTGGACAATTTGACGTAGAACCGTTCTCGTCGAAGAATTTCGAAGACGCATCGTAGGTGTTCGACGTGCTGCTTCATGTCGCGCGAGTAGACGAGGATGTCGTCCAGGTACACCACCACGCATTCGTCCAAGAGTGGGCGTAGGATATGATTCATTTCTATTTGGAATGTTGCAGGTGCGTTGGTGAGTCCGAACGGCATTACCAGATCCTCGTACGATCCGTACCCAGTTCGGAAGGCAGTCCTGTGGACGGAATCGTCCGCCATTCTTATTTGACAGTATCCAGACCGCAGATCTAGTTTTGAAAATACCGTGGCTCCCCGAAGATGGTCAAGCAAATCATCGATTCGTGGGATCGGGTATTTGTTCTTGATGGTCTGCTTGTTGAGAGCTCAGTAGTCGATGCACATGCGCAGGCTTCCGTCCGGTTTCGGTGTGAAGAGTACTGAGGCACCGTATGGCGAAGTGGTTGGTCGGATGAGTCCTTTGGCGAGGAGATACTCGATCTGTTTCTTCATGTCGGCTAGTTCTATGGGGCTTAGCCAATATGGTGCGCAGAAGGTCGGTTTCAAACCTGGTTCCTCCACGATCTCGTGTTGGTGCGTTCGGTATGGCGGTAGCTCGTCCGGGAGGTCGTCGGGAAGAATGTCTTGGAACTCCTTCAGTAAAGTCCTTGATTTTTTCTGGAGGTTCCGAGGCTTTCTCTCCATCATTCTCCACCTCTGTTGCTATCGCCAGGAATCCGGTATTGGTTCGTTTCACGTCCTTCTCCAATCTGGCAAGTGTCTCCACTGGGATATCTTCTGTATCGTCCCAGTTGGGTAGCTGGACTCTCCTTCCTTTGTTGTAGATGCTTGCGGTGCGGTTTACCCAGTTGATCTTGGGGTTGAATTTCTTGAGGAAGCCTCGCCCGAAGATCAGGTCAAGCTCTTTTATGTTGGTGATGGGGAGAGCATGTTTCCAGTGCAGTGGACCGATTTGTAGGTGTAGCACTGCTTCGCCGTACACTGGTAACTTGCTGTCGTCCACCATCGTTGCAGAAAACTCTTATGGCTTGTACTCTTCTCGAAGTTGGTCGATGGTTGCCTTGTCGTATACGGTGTGCGATGCTCCGCTGTCCACGAGTGCTTGGAGGCGTCGTCCTTTGCAGATGACCTCGAGCACGAGGAGCAGGCGTTGCTCGGAGTACCCAAAGATAGTTTCATTGATTGGGTCATAGGGTACATCCCAATATTCGTTGCAACCTACTCCTGAGCTGGCAGCTGGCCGAGGCTGCTTGGAGAAAGGCTCTTCTCCAAGACCCGGAGTTTCCGTGACGACTGTTCGTGTCGTTGACGAAGTTGCTGAGTTGGATGCATCCGAAGGAGTTCGGGGTTTTTGCATCTTCTTGTAGACCCCCAGCTTCCTCTTGAGCTGCTTCAGCTCCACCGACGTCTTCCCTGGGGAACGGGTAGTCGCTGTGGGCTGGTGTCGGGAGAGGACGTTGACTCCGTGGAAAGTTCGGCTTCTTTCCACACTCTTTAATTTGGTCCCCAAGTTCTCCGGTACTAGTACGATCTCCAGAATTTTCTGCTTCTTTTGGAGTCCCTCTCGAAATTTCTCCAAGGCTCTAGCCCCTCGAGAATTACAAGTTTTCATTAAAGCATCTTTATAAGGTAACTTTAACGAATCCTTATAATTTCTTGGGTCTTCAAGGAGTTTCCCCGTCTTGGCAGAGTCTTTTTTCGCGGAGTTAGATTTTTCCTCGGCGATTTCCTCTGACGAAGATTGGTCGTGGGGTGGAGATTTTTCCCCATCATTTTCTCCTGTTCGCGTCGAATCAGCTGCGTCGAAGTTGATTTTTCCGGAAGTCCGCGGCCGCTTTCGGATCTTTTCTTTTTCGCCAGCTAGATCCGCAATTACTGGCGAGTCCCGTTTTTTGGCTTCTGATGGGCCGAAAGATTTCCGCCACTGTTGCGTGCCCGATACTCAGCTCGTGCGGCTTTCATTTTGTTGCAATCGAAGATTCGATGACCCGGCACCCCGCAAAAATCACACGTGAAGTTGGTGTTTTTCGGACGTGGCCGCCCTTCGAGCCTGTCGACTTCCATCGGGTCGGCGAACGTGGGATGAGCTGAGTGGTCGCTCCGTCGCGTACTGCCGACGTGCGTCCGTCGTGTCCCGGCGTTGTCTATGTCGAAGCGTTCCGCGGCCGATACGACATCACTGTAGCTCGCGTAGTTTGTCGCTGCCACTTGTCGTTTGACTTCAGTCTTCAGCCCGGCGAGCTACGATTGTACTTTTTCCCCTGCGGTCAGGTCGGGAATGCGGTTATAAAATTCCTCCATCTGCTGCATGTAGTGCGCTACACTCCCGAACTGTCGATGGCGATGATTTTTTTCCCGGGCAAGGAAACCCGAATTTATCGGCTCGAATCGTTTCAGCAGGTCGGTACGGAACTGCTGCCACGTGGCTTCGCCGTGGATGAACGTGCTGTTACCGCCGATCCACTCGAGTGCCGGCCCTCGCATCAGTGTCGCCGCGAGTCGTACGCGTTGTCCGTCCCAGACTGGCGAGCTCCATTCGACGGCTGCGAAGTAGATCTCCATGCCGGCGATCCTTTTCGGACGTCGGAGTTTCGATCGCTCGGATCGAACGGCTCAGGTGGGCGCGGTTTCGGAGCCTTGAGAAATTGCTGCGACTGCTGCGTCGTCGCCGTTGTCGTTTCGTGTTGCGCGCTGGCGAGTCGAGTTACTCGCTCGAACTCTTGTCGCCAAGCTTCGCGGTCGGCTCGCATCTCCTCCTGTAGGGCGGCGATGCTTGCGAAGAGCTGCTGGGTAACTTCGGCGTTGTCGAAGTTCGCCATCCTGTTCATAACACGCGCGGAGGGGGTAATTCGAAAAATCGCGAAGCTGGTGCTTACCAGAATCGGCGTCGAATTGGTCGCCCCCGGCGGTTTTTCGAGGCAGGAGTCCCGCTGCTGCTGCTTAGCTGAGCGCGGCCGAGTAAGAAAAGCTCTGATTACCAAGTGTCACAGGATCGAATGTGTCGAGGAAATGTTGCACTATCGATTGATACAAGGCGCTTTTATACTTCCAAAGTACATCAGGTAATCAGGTTTATCCTATCTCAAGGGAATAGACCCTTCTAGAAAATAGAATCACCATGCGTATAGCCACGCAAGGCTATTGGTTGAAGAGATTACGGCAGGATTATGCTAGATATAGCGTACCAGTACATCCCAAGCCTGGTCGGTGATATAATTATAATAACAGGATAAACCAAAGGTCTATGGGAAATGAAGAATAGGAAACCAAATGAGATGAGATAAAAAGAGGAATGTAATAGAAAGAAAATAGGGAAAGGAACAAGTGGTGTAACGGGGTCGTACTCTCACAGCCGGTATCACCACCGTCTTCCCAGGTCGCGCTGATCACTGCCTCCTATACCATCCCACAGGTCGCCTCCTCTCCTGCATTCCCTTTTGTCCTCGCTCCCACCTATATACCCTTCGGGTTCCTCGTCTTCCCTCTGCCCACGCAGGCTCCCGTTCCCCCCCCCCCCCCTCACATCCCTCCCCCTCCTCTCCCTCCTTCTAACCCAACCATTCCCCCCCTTCCCCCTGACCCAACCTGCTCATGTCGATCCCTCTCCCATCCCACCGTCCTCCTCCACCACAGGCTTGGTCACCCCAACTTTGCCACCCTCTGCTCGAACGTCTCCTCCGGCCTCCTTCGAGGTCTTCCCCTCACCCTCCCTCCCTCCCCTGCCCCTCCTTGCTACGTCTGTGTCCAGAGGAAACTCAAGCAACTGTCGCATCGGAGTTCCCCCTCCGCTGCCGCTCAGCCGCTTGATCTTGTTCTCATGGACCTCTGGGGCCCCAACCCCTCCCCTTCCCGACAGGGCCATCGCTACATGCTTGTTCTAGTCTATGATCACAGTCGGTATTCTTCAGTCTCCTTTCTTCGCTCGAAGAGTGACGCTCCGGCAACGATCTTCGCCTGGCTCAAGCAGGCGAGTACCCACTTTGGTCGCCCTGTGCGCCCCCTTCACTCTGATGGCGGTGGCGAATTCCTTAATCTCCAGGTACCCTCCCCCACTCCCCCCAGCAGAACAGTGTGGTCGAGAGCCGTGTTCGGGAGATCACCAAGATTGCTCGGTGTCTCCTCATTCATGCCTCTTGCCCCCCTTCTTTGTGGGGCTATGCCCTCCTTCACGCCACCCTCCTTACTAACGTGTACCCCCACCCCATCCTTCCCTCCACCACTCCCACCGAGCTCTGGACGTCTGCCAAGTCGGACGTCTCCTCCCTCCGTGTGTGGGGCTCCAAGGCGTATGTCCTCACCTGGTATCCCCACACCAGGTCACGTGACGTAGTCCTAGGTGCCGCGCCTCCTCTTACCCTGTCTTCCTCTACCTTGCCTCCTCTCTCCTCTCTTACAACAAAACACTAGCCCTACCTTGCCGTCGAGCTCCAGTGCAGCACTCCCAGCAGCAGGAGCAGCAGCAGTAACAGCTGCAGCAACAGACCTACCCACCGCAGCAGCACCAGCACCATTAGCCGTCACTCCTTCCTCACCTTCACCCGCAGCGGCAGCAGTAGAAGCAGCAGTAGCAGCCGCCTCAGCAGCAGCAGCGGCAGACGCATCTCGGCCAGCAGCGGCAGTCCTTCCATTCATTTTCCACTCCTCCCTCCTCAAGGACTCCTATGAGGAGTTCCTCAACCTCCACCTGCATGATCCAGCCCTCCTACCCTTCTCCCCTGACCTTTACGGCACACCAGTCTTCGCCTTCTCCTCCGCCCCCACCATCTTCGTCCCCGCCACGTATGAGGAGGCCATGGCGTGCCCTGATGCCCACCTCTGGCTCGCGGCCATCCTCAAGGAGTTGGAGGCGTTTATTGCCAACTCCTCCTTTGAGGATGTGCCCCGCCCTCCCTCTACCACGAACGTGGTAAAAGGGAAGTGGGTGTTTCGGGTGAAGCAGCTGCCTGGCGAGCCGCCGGTCTACAAGGCCCGCTACGTCGCCAAGGGCTTCACCCAGCGCTACGCTGTCGACTTCTTCGACACCTTCTCTCCCACCGCCAAGCCCGCTACCATCCGCGCGGTGCTCGCCCTCGCCGCTCGCCTCAACATGGAGATTCACTCCATGGACGTCTCCAACGCCTTCCTCCAGGGCGTCTTGCGCGAGCTCATTTACATGGAGCGTCTTGCAGGCTTCCACCTCCCCTTTCCTTCCGACTCTATCTGGCAGCTGCGTCGGCCAGTCTACTGGCTCAAGTAGGCACCAAGGGAGTGACATGCCAAGCTTGTTGCTACCCTTGCTGAGCTGGGCTTCAGCACCTCCCGCGCTGACCCCAGCCTCTTCCTCCGCACCTCCCCCTCCCCCTTGTACATCCTCGTCTATGTCGAGATATGATCCTCATCACTGCCGACTCAGCCGATCTCGAGCGCGTCAAGCATGAACTTGGCAGCCGGCTCAAGTGTAAGGATTTGGGGGAGCTGCAGCACTATCTTGGCATGGAGATTACTCGCGACCGTGCAGCTCGCACCATCTCCCTCTCCCTTGGCCACTACTTGCAACAGGTCCTGGAGCGGTTCGACATGGCTCGAGGCAGCCCTCAGGTCACCCCTCTTCTTGTTGGGTACCACCTCAATCCCCTCACATCCCCTTCCTCCTCCTCCCACCCCTACGCTGAGCTCATCGGCTCTCTCATGTATGCCATGGTCTCCACTCGCCCTGACCTGGCATACCCCATCAGCGTATTGGCCCGCTTCGTTGGTACCGGCAAGCATGATGCCGTCCACTGGCAAGCGGCCAAGCGTGTCCTCCGCTACCTTCGGGGGACCAAGAACTACGTCCTTACCCTTGGCGGCCCCTCCCCTCCCCTCCTCACTGGCTACTCTAATTCCTCCTGGGCTGACTCTAGGCCTGACCGCCGCTTCTCTCAGGGCTATGGCTTCTCCCTTAGCAGCGGCCTCATCAGCTGGCGCTCCACTCACTCCTCCTCCATTGCACTCTCCTGCTGCGAAGCGGAGCTGTATGCTGCTACCATGGCTGCGTAGGAGGCTCGCTAGCTGACATTCCTTCTTGAAAAGCTCGGTGCCCCTCAGCGTTGTCCCACCATCTGGTGCGACAAAGCCAGCACCATCCACCTCACGAAGGATGCTGTGTTCCACGGGCGCTCCAAGCACATTGAGCTTCGCCACTACTTCATTCGCGAGTTCGTGCAAGGTGGCCACCTCCAGCTGGGCAAGATTGACTCTGCCGCCAATCTTGCCGACATCTTCACCAAAGCCCTCCCCCACGCCGCCCACTCCTCCCTCCTTCGCCTTCTTGGCCTTGCTCCCCCCGTTCCCTCGTCCGCCTCCTGTTTCAAGGCATCTAGTCTTATGCATGTTGGGGGGTTGTGTTGTAAAATATATGTATATATACAACATGCATGCCTAGATTAGGAGGTGTAGTCATTATCTTTAATGGGGGGTTGTTGGTTGGGTTGACCAACCCACATTTGGGTTGGTCAAGATTGGATTTGGTCCTAGACATTTGGTTGGCACTATTCCAACCAAATGGTCCTACGAACCAACCAATCACCAAGCACCACACTTTGTGGTTGCTTGCCTTCCAAGCAACCTGTCCCATTGGTCCACATTGTGGCCAATCGGAGGGCACCACACTTTGTGGTTGCTTGCCGTCCAAGCAACCTCTCCCATTGGTCCACATTATGGCCAATAGGAGAGCTTCCCTTCCAACTCTTCCTTGCTCCTTGTTTGTACAATAGAGCCTCTTGGCTCCCTACTCAATTCACTCTTTTCTCCTCAAAGCTGATTCCTTCAATGGGTGCCAAGGCACACGGGCGGGTGGATGGATGAACAAGGGTTGAGTGAGGCGACTCATGCTTCGTTACCACTCGCCCCGTCCCCAGCCGCCCCACTCGTTTCCCCGGACACCTTCTCACTCCGCCCCACTCTCTGCTCTCTCCCCCCCCACCCCAACCCCCAACGCCCCCCCCGTCTTCCCCGGCAGCGCACCACTGGTTCAAGTCCTTCCGCTCAGCCACCCCGACCTCTCCTCTTCCCTCCAAGGCCTCCGCCACACATGCTCCCACGCATGCCACGTCAGCTGCTGACCTGGCGGCTGTGGGCGTTTCAGGCGCGGGCAGGGCGAGCACGGGAGGGGCAGGCAGAGAGCGGGCGGTGGGCAGGGAGAGGGTCGGCGTGGGTAGCCGCAGCGGGCGAATGAGAGTGGCGCCGAGCACGAGTGTGGAGGGCTCAGGGGGCAGCGCGGAGAGGGGGAGCATGGCGAGGGATGAGGGGCAGCGGTCGCCTCGAGGCAGCGCGCGGAGAGACGAGCGCAGAGAGGGTAGTACGCGTCTGGCGCGGTATAAGTCGGAGGATGTGGGGAGGATGCTGAGGGGAGGAGGGGGTGGAAGGGATGGGCTGGGAGGAACAATGGAGGAGGTGTGGGAGGCGATGCAGCGAGAGAAGAGGCGAGAGGCGGGGCATGCAGGGAGAGAGGAGGATAGAAGATCACGCGACAGGGAGAGGTGGCGAGGGGAGGAGAGGGATAGGAGCAGGGATAGAGATGGGGATAGGGAGAGGGAGAGAGATAGGGATGGAGATAGGGATGGAGGTAGGGATGGAGATAGGGATAGGGAGAGGAATGGTGACTGGTATTGGGAGAGGGATAGGGACAGGGACAAAGAGAGGAATAGAGATAAAGATCAGCAGAGGGATAGGGGAAGGGACAGGAAAACGGAGAGAGATGGGGACAGGGATGGGGACAGGGATAGGGACAGGGAGAGGGACAGGGATAAAAATAGGGACAGGGACTGGGACAGTGATAGGGACAGGGATAGCGATAGGGATAGAGTGAGAGAGGGGGAGAGAGATGGAGACAGTTTTCGAGTACGGGATAGTGAGAGGGCGCAGAGGAGAAGCTTGGACTTTGACTGTGAGCGGGAGCAGCAGCGGCGAGAGAGAGACAGGGTCAGGGACAGAGTGTGCGAGAGGGATCGTGGCAGGGATGGGGACAGCAGTCGGGATAGGCACAGAGAGTGGGAGAGGGACAGGGAGAGGGACAAGGATAGGGATAGGGAGTGCGAGGCGAGGGGGGAAGGGGAGAGGGAACGGAAGAGGGCAAGTGCGAGCAGTGTGGACGAGGGAGGGCATGGCAGGGGGCGCAGTGGAGGGGGGGTGGGAGATGGCGAGAGGGACCACCTCTTGCGGCCAGTGGGCAGTGGCAGGGGGCGCGCGGCCGTCACTGCGGGCGGACTGGGAGGGGAGGGGCTGGGGGGTGGTGGTGGTGGTGGTGGTGGTGGTGGTGGTGGTGGTGGTGGTGGTGGTGGTGGTGGCAGAGGGTTGCAGCGGATCAGGTCAGACGTGAGTGGCATGCTGGCGGCCATGGACCGGACCCACGCCCACCCCGACACCCACTCCCCTGCACCCCCCCTCCGCGCGCGCCGCTCCCCTCTCGCCAGCCCCGACACCTCCTCTGCTGCCTTCCCCCTTCCCCGCCCGCGCCCCTCGCGGCGCTCGCACTCACGGCTCTCCCACGACCTGGACGCCGAGGGGGAGGCGGGCACGGGCATGGGCAGGGACGTGCGTGCACACGGCGAGGCTGACGCAGAGTGGGGCGGGGCGGGCAGGGGCGTGCCGCGCTCTAAATCCACCGAGGTGCTGCGGGGGTTGAGGGCAGGGTGCGGAGGTGGGTTGCAAGGGGAGGACAGGGAGGACAGGGAGGGGCGGAGGAGGGTGCGGGGCGAGGAGGGGGAGGAGGGCGTGGAGGGGAGAGGAGAGGAGGAAGGTGGTAGTGTGAGTGGGAGGAGGAGGGGCCTCCAGAGGTCGCCCTCCCCTGAGCGGGCGTTGGAGGAGCGGAGAGAGGAGGTGGCGGGGCGAGGCAGGGGCAGCACCAGTGGCAGCAGCAGGGAGCATGAGCCCAGCAGCACTCGCCCCTCCCACCCCCCCAGGCTGCCCCCGGCGGGCGACCAGCACCGGCGCTACCGCAGCACGGGGGACGTGTTCTCTGACCTGGGGGGCGCGGACGCCCATGCGCCCCCCGCCTGCACGCCCCCCTTGGGCACCACGCCCCGCTCCCCCTCCCGCCCTCCTGACTTCCCCCCGCGCCCGGGGCTAGCTCAAGGCAGAGGCAAAAGTGGGAGGGAGGAGGAGGGTGGGAGTGAGAGTGGCGACTGGAGGGATGGTGTGGGGCGAGCGAGTGAGCGTGCCAGGCACAGCAGGTGTGCATCGGTGGGGGTGGAAGGCATGGGGCGCAGGGAAGGGGGCACGCATGGGGATGGGGAGGAGGGGAGCGAGGCTGAGGACGACAGGTGGGCTGGTGATGGCTTGAGGGGTGTAGCAGCAGAGATGGCAGCAAGTTCGCATGGACGTGGTGGTGTGCGCCGAGGGGAAGTGGGTGCAGGGGGGAGGGAGCAGGTGAGCAGCGGTGCGAGTGGGGGGGGGCTGGTGCGCCACAGATCGGTGAACGTGGCGTCGCTGCTGCACCGCCGTGCTGCCAGCGACCCCACATCCCCTGTGGCGGCCGCCAAGCCGTGCACCTTGAAGGGACGCACTGATACACCCAGGACCGCTAGCCCTGGCCGTGATGGCAGCAATGGCCTCGCGTGCCCATCCCTGCATGACGCTGCTGCCTCGCCCTCCACTGCCGCCTCTGCCGCTGCACCCCGTGCCCGCTCCCCGCTTCCACTGCCACCCTTCGGCCCCACCAGCACCACACCCGCACCGCCCACCGCACACGCCTCGGGGCGGCGTCTGTCCCCACTGCCCCTCCACCAGTCCACCAACGTGGCGCGCCTGCTGCTTGACTCCCACTCGCCCGAATTGCTCTCCCCCACTCGCCACTCCCCCACGCATGCCCGCACTGCCGCCACACCGGCCTGTGCACTTGCCGCGCTGCCCCCCCAGCGTGCGCGGCGCAGCAGCGTGGACCTGGACGACCTCGTCCGCCACGGCCGTGCGCGCTGCCCGCCCGACGCACAGCGCTCCGCGTCCGCCGTGGGTGGGCACGGGCGGGGAGGGGAGGACGGTGACAGCTGTGGCGGCAGCAGCCCGGGAGGGGGCAGCGGCAGTGGTGGCGGGAGTGGGCGCGGCATGCGAGGCAGCAGGGGAAGAGCGGTGCAAGGAGCAGAGGGAGCAGAGGGGGGCCAGCGACACAGGCGGAGCTTCAGCCAGGCTCAGAGTGCCACAGGCAGTGCAGGGGGAAGGGGAGGGGCGGTGGCAGGGCAGGGGCACATGCGCAGCAGCAGCAGCAGCCACCTGATGCCGCCCTTGCATGGCAGCAGAGGCACGGCAGGCAGGGCGGAGGACAGAGAGGGCTCCCCGCTGAGCCGAGGGGGCAGGGGGGAGCGCAGTGGGCGGGGGGAGGAGGGTGCAGAGCTGTATGGGGGGGATGAGGAGTGGGGCAGGGGGCACGCGGCGAGAGGACAGGGCCTGAGGCCCGTTGAGTCGGTGGGTGGGGGGAGCGCGAGCAAGGGAGGTGGAGGCAGGCTGACACGGTATCGATCAGCAGATGTGGCCTCCCTTCTCCCCTGACCCTCCCTCCCCTCGCTCTCTCTCGTGCTGTGCCACTCTGATGCATCGCTGCCCACTGCCTCTCGTCAGAAGCAGTCTGCTCAACAAATTGCACCTCCAAACCAAGGCCTATTTTATCAGAGCAATTTACTCTTTCTCTGAAAATCTGAGTCGTTCTTTTAAACTACTCTAAGAGCCCTGAGTAAAAAAAATGAACCTATTTTTTACTCTGATTTTATCCGAGTAAACCTTTGTACCACTCTGATGGTCCGTGTATAGGGGGCACCGTATTGTTAAAATTATATAAGTTATAATTTTATATAGGCTTGGTAGGTTGCTACTGAACCTTTCTGTAGGGGGTACAAACCCCTCCTTGTACTCCCTTCTCGTCCTAATCCAACCCTCTTTCTTCTCGACTTTCCTCCTACTCCTAGATCCGTTTTTCCTAGCGCCGTTCCATGGCGGCCTTGCTCCTATCCTAGCTAAGCTAGTGTCCTAACTTTAGGGACCTAGCATCCTAAGTTCTTAACATGGTATCAGAGCAGGAGATCCTTCCTGCTGGACTGCCTCCTCTCGCTTCCGCCATTTACTCCTCATCCTCATTCACTCCAGCGGCCATGGGGCGGCCGCGTTTTGCTGCAGTGGCGACGTCGCGCTGCCACTGGGCGCGTCGTGCCGCGACCGGCCCGACGCGCTGCCGCGGAGTCGGGCCGTCGTTCTGCAGTCGCAGCGTCGACGCCCCGCTGCGGCATCGACGCTGCCATGGCGGCCGCGGCGGCGTCACGCTGTGGCGTCGTCGTCTTTTCGCCGGCTGCGCCGTCCTGCCGCGGCCGTCTCGACACGCGACCGGGACGACGTCAGCGCGACGCCGCGGCTGCGCCCCTCCTGGGCCTCGTCGCGCCCTGCCTGGCCTCATCGCACCCGCTCGGCCCCGTCGCGCCCTGCCTGGCCCCGTCGCCCTCTGCCCGGCCCCGTCGCCCCCTGCCAGGACGCCGTCGTCCCGCCTGTAAGCGCCGCGCCATTTATGGCGCGACGCTGAAGACTCGCCCCGCCCCCCCCCCCCCCCCCCCCCCCCCCCCCCATTCTCCCTTCCCCCTGCGTCTTCCCGTCCTCCTGTCGCAGCTGCTGTCTTCTGCCCGGACGTTGCCACATCGCCGAGAGCCCTCAGCCACGGCAGTCGCCGCCTGTCGTCGGCGACCCAGCCGCCTTGAGCCAGAGCTCCGCGGCTGCTTGTCGCTGACCCGCCTAGACGCCGTCGGCTGCCTCGTGTACGGGGGTGTGTCAACGCTTTGCCTGAGGGTCAGATACCCGGCTAAGCACGAGCCTGAGGGTGTGCGGGGTTAGGGGGTGGGTTGCGTGCGGGTGTGGGGGTGTGAGTGGGCTTGACACTACCAAGCCTAGGGGGTGTGTTAAAATTATATAAGTTATAATTTTATATAGGCTTGGTAGGTTGCTACTGAACCTTTCTGTAGGGGGTACAAACCCCTCCTTGTACTCCCTTCTCTTCCTAATCCAACCCTCTTTCTTCTCGACTTTCCTCCTACTCCTAGATCCGTTTTTCCTAGCGCCGTTCCATGGCGGCCTTGCTCCTATCCTAGCTAAGCTAGTGTCCTAACTTTAGGGACCTAGCATCCTAAGTTCTTAACACGTATATCTGTGATTATGACCCTGCTGTCAAACATGTGTAGTTATCATGTTTGTATAGACTGTATAGGGTCACCTTCTAGAGAGTACAACATTTAGGTATATCTTTGTGTACTCTCTCTCTCACATTATTCAATTCTAGGTTTGATATGGTATCACGAGTAGGTTTCGACCCCCCCCCCCCCCCCCCCCCCCACCTACCGCTTCCTCTCCTCCCGTCGCGTCTCCTAGCCTCGCCTCGCCCCTCCTGAGCCCAGTCGCGACCCCTCCCCCTAGCCCCGTCGCGCCCCTTCCAGGGCCTCGTAGCGCCCCTCCAGGCCCCGTCGCGCCCCCCTTCCAGGGCTTCGTAACGCCCCTCCAGGGCCCCGTCGCGCCCCCTAGCGCCCCTCCTGGGCCCCGTAGCGCCCCTCCAGGGCCCCGTCGCGCCCCTTCGCGCCCCTCCTGGGCCCCGTAGCGCCCCTCCAGGGCCCCGTCGCGCCCCTTAGCGCCCCTCCTGGGCCCCGTCGCGCTCCTCACAGGCCCCGTAGCGCCCCGTAGCGCCCCTCCTGGGCCTCGTCGCGCCCCTCCTGGGCTTCGTAGCGCCCCTCCTGGGCTTCGTAACGCCCCTCCCAGGCCCCGTCGCGCCCCTCCTGGGCTCCGTAGCGCCCCTACTGGGACCCGTCGCGCCCTCCCTGGGCCCTGTAGCGCCCCTCCTGGGCCCCGTCGTGCCCCTCCCAGGCCCCGTCGCGCCCCTCCTAGGCCCGTAGTGCCCCTCCTGGGCCCGTAGCGCCCCTCCTGGGCCCCCCCCCCATTGCGCCCCTCCTGGGCCCCGCCGCGCCCCTCCTGGGCCCCCATTGCGCCCCTCCTGGGCCCGTAGCGCCCCTCCTGGGCCTGTTGCGCCCCTCCTGGGCCCTGCCGCGCTCCTCCCTGGGCCCCGTATCCACCCTCCTGGGCCTCGTTGCCCCTGCTCGGCCCCGTCGCCCCTGCTCGGCCCCGTCGCCCCAGCTCGGCCCTGTCGCGGCCTCTCGGCCCCGTGGCGCCCGCCCTGCCCCTGTCGCAGCTGCCCGGCCCCTGTCGCACCTGCCCGGCCCCGTCGCGCCCGCCCGGCCCCGTCGCCCCCGCCCGGCCCTGCTGTGTCCTGCCCGGCCCCGTCGCTGCCGCCCGGCCCTGTCGCTGCCGCCCGGCCTCGTAGCTGCCGCCCGGCCCTGTCGCTGCCGCCCGGCCTCGTAGCTGCCGCCCGGCCCCGTCGCAGCCGCCCGGCCCCGTCGCAGCCGCCCGGCCCCGTCGCAGCCGCCCGGCCTCGTAGCTGCCGCCCGGCCTTGTCGCTGCCGCCCGGCCCCGTCGCAGCCGCCCGGCCCCGTCGCAGCCGCCCGGCCCCGTCGCGCCTGCCCGGCCTCGACGTGCCTGCCCGGCCCCGTCGCGCCTGCCCGGCCCCGTCGCGCCTGCCCCGGCCCTCCATACTTCCTGGTACTGTCCCCCGTTCCCCGCACCACTTTGCACCCTCCTGCACTTTCCTGCCCCGCCTTGCACCGCATTGCACCTCACTGAACCGCACTGACCGCACTGCACCGCACTGAACCGCCCTGCACCGCACTGCATCGCACTGCACCGCACTGGACCGCACTGCACCGCCCTGCACCGCACTGCACAGCACTACACCGCACTCCACTGTCCTCCACTGCCCCTCATGGCTGCTGAGCTTCGTTTTGATGCTGAGGGTCAGCCTCTGGAGTTCGAGGCGTGGTTGGCTGACCTTCGCCGCCACCTCACTGGTCAGCGGCAGGACGGCCACCCGCTTTCTGCACACCTAGACGGTATGCTCCCCTGCCCTGACCCCCCTGCTGTGCTGCCTGCTGATCCCACGCCCGCTGAGCGCGAGTCCACTGCCGCCGCTGCCCTTGCCCGCTCTGTCTGGCTTTCCCGCGATGCCCTTGCTCAGCTCGCCATTAGCAATGCCCTCCCCCCCCTTGAGCGCCCTCACTTTAGAACCATTACTACCGCCCAGGCCTACCTCGATGCTGTCATCAAGCGCTATTCTACCCCTCCTGCTGCCTCAGTGGGTCGCCTGATCCTCCCCCTGCTCTTTCCTGACCTGGCGTCCTTCCCCACTGTCTCTGACCTCGCTGCCCACCTGCGCTCGATAGATGAGGCCTGGCGCGCTGCCTGCACTGATGCACAGCTTAGAGTCCACCAGCCTCCCATGACCTCTACCCTCTACCTCCTTGCCACCCGCCTCCCTGACCGCCTTGCCGCCGCCCGCGACCAGTTCCTTAGCATCCACCCTGCTGCTCTCACCCTCACCGACTTTGTTGACACCCTGACTGCCATAGAGACTCGTCACCGCTCCATAGCCCAGGCGAGCGGTACAGTACCGGTCCCTATCTTTCAGGGTTGTGCCCCCGCTCAGTGTACCTTCTCCGACGGCTCTGTCGCTGTGGCTGAGACTGCTGCTGCAGTGCAGTCCCGCTCGGGGAAGGGCCGCCGCCCCAAGGTTGGGAGCGGCGGAGGTGGCGGGGGTGCGGGTGGGGGTAGTGGTGGAGGCGGGTCGTCCGGTGCCGGTGCGGACGTGGGGACCCTGCCCGGTCCAGCTGCCCCGCTGCCTCCACCGTTGCAGCAGCCGCAGCAGCAGCAGCCTCCGCAGCAGCCGCAGCAGCCGCCGCAGACGAGGCCGGCGAGTGCTCTCCCGCCTGGGTGGCCTGGAGCTGGTGGTGGTCGTGCGCGTGGTGGTGCACCGGGTGGTGGTTCTGGAGGCGGGCCCTGTCAGTACCAGATCCAGACCGGTCCTCGCCGCGGCTTCGTTTGCGGTAAGATCGGTCATTCCACTCCTCGCTGTTTTCGTCGTCTGGACGACCTGTTCCGCCAGCGCTTTGGCCCGGCGCCCGACCTCCCGGACTGGCACAGCTTGCTTAGGCGTAGCATTCGGATTTTTGACTTGGACATGGATGCCATTGTAGCAGCCTTGCATGTGATGTATGCCGATGACTCTAGTGTGCTTCCCTCTTATTACCCCGTGTTGCCTAGTGTAGCTGTGCCTAGCATAGACTCCCCTGCTGCGTCAGGCGTAGGATCTCCTGCTTTGCTTAGCCTCGGTGCTTCCACCGCTTCACTGTCGCCCCGCGCGACTGCTGCGCTTTCCTTCACCTTGGACTCTGGCGCCTCCCGGTGTTTCTTCCGCGACTCCACGACGCTGACGCCGCTGCCTGTTCCTGCTGCAGTTACTCTTGCTGACCCCTCCGGTGGTCCCGTCTTTGCCCGCAGTTCCACCTCCCTTCCCTGTCCGGCGGTTCCTTCAGGTTCGCTCACCGGTCTGCATATCCCCTCGTTCTCCAGGAACCTAGTTGGTGTCGGCTGCCTCCAGGACCTTGGCGTCACCACTACGTTCCCTGGTCACGAGCGGTATGCTGTCTGTACCGAGGCCGCCACTGGTGCCCCCCTTACCACTTTCCCCCGGGACCCGGTGTCCGGCCTGTTCACACTTGACACCGCGACGTCCCCGGCTGGGTCTTCCCCCCAGGTAGCTGCGTCCACCCAGGTTGCTGCTGCGTGCTCCTGTCGGTCCCTCACTCATCCGACTCTCCTTTGGCACCACCGCCTTGGTCACCCTGCACTCCCGCGTCTGCGTCACATGTCCCAGCACGGTCTCGTCCTTGGTCTCCCCGGTTCGTTCCCTGAGTTTCCCTCATCCCCTGCCCCACCGTGCACGCCTTGTGTCGAGGGCCGGCTCCGCCGTGCCCCTCACTCCTCCTCTTTTCCCCCTACCACCGCACCCCTGCAGACTC